AAAAAATAAAAAATATAAATAAAAATTCTGACTGAGTACTCTCCATAATTTGATTTAGGGAGTTTAATGCAAATTTTACTTGCAGGTGGGCTATAGTTAAAGGAGGTGTTATAGTTCAGAATCCAATTCGACACTTCAAAGATGGACTTCACATCAGTGTTTTCCAGAGGCAAAATTGAGATCAGCTCCATTTATATATTTATATTTATGACGAAAATTTCGAATGTTTTATGTCTTATCTATGAAATAATATGCATTATAGACATCGAATAATATTGCAAGTATGAATATTGTCTTTTCTATGAAATAATATGCATTGTAGACATGGAATAATAACGCATCTCAAGTATGAAGACATATAAATTGCAATTTAACAATTTTATGTCTGTTCGATTTCGACATTTTGATTAAAACATCGGCAAATTCAATACCGTAAAGTATATTTGTTTGACCACTAGATATTAACCCACATGGATGTGTGTTCGTTCACCGATAAAAACCCCTACGAGGGCATTGGAAATTTTTAGAAAATAACCCATAAAATGTGTCCGAATTTCAGATAAATTAAGACCATGTTTCCTTAGTCAAAACCCAAAAAAAAATAAAAAAAATAAAAATAACAGATACCAAAATCTTCATAAAATTTATGAATATATAATAAATGACGTATTTAAAGCTAAATAAGGTGGTTTAAGTACACATACATTTTCTCGCAATCTAAACTAAATAATACATTGAATTCAATGCAGTATAAGCTCATGCATAAATAATTAAATAAATAAATAATAACCTGGCAAACGCAAAATAGAAAAATCTTCCAGAAAAAAAAAAATAAATAAAATAAATAAATAAAAATTGAACATAATTGATGAAGCAATAAATGGACAAGGTAAAATACAATGTTTCGCCTCACTGCAGGTATTGAGAGGCGTGTGTAAAACCCCAAAGCTGCAAAATATAAGAGCACGAGATAAGTAAATTAATAAGAGTTAGTTATTCACGTACACAACTTGATTCGATTCGTGAACAAATCGTTCATTAAACAAGCAGCGCTCATTCGCAAGCAGCTCGTTTATTGTCTAATAGGTTTCAAACGAATAGCCAAGCCGAGCATATTCGCAAACGTACAAATTGTGCTGGTAAATCGAGTCGGCTCATTTATTAAGAAAAGCTCAAAACACAAAGTGCTCAATTCGTCTCGAATAACACCGCTATGTTTGGTGTACCTAACTCATACGCTAGCTTATAGTTTGAAGTAAATTTTGAGCTTCTAGCTATAGCTTATGACTAAAAGGCTAGCTTATATAATAAAAGTGTTTGGTAAAATTAGTTGATAAACTAGCTCAAATAAAATTTTCAATGGGTTTATTTGAAAAGCTACCCAAGTTTATGAGATAAATTCGAGCTTTTTTAAAAAGTTCGTCCTATCAAACCAAGCTTATTTGAATACAGAAAACTAATACACTAATTAAATAAACTATAAGCTAGCTTGTATGCTTATCAAACACCGCCATAATATAAAACATTAGCATAATTGCAAAAGATACCCATGAAGTTAGGCCAAATAGCACCAAAAAATAATTCTCCGAAAAACTCGAATATCAAGATTAATGTATAAGGGTTCCCATTCATATACTTTTTTTAAAAAATACCCTCTATTACGGATGTAAATTGTAAATGCAGAAATAAAATCCAAGGATATTTATAACTATAAAAAATAGCTATATTTTTCCGCAATTAGACTTAACTTCAAAGGTATCTTTAAAAACTAATCAGAAAAAAAAATATATACCTCTACATTCTTTAGTTCAAACTCATGATTATGAGCTAAGCATAAGTTGCCAAATGTCTCACAAGGGCCACTTGTTCCAGATAATCTACAGTGAAGAATCGAGTTTACAATCATATATTCCGGACTTATTAAATTAAAAATAAAAATTCAATCTCGGAATGTGGAAGAACTTACAAATCTTCACTCAAGGATAACGCGAAATTTGCACCACCCCCAAGTGCAATCAACTCATTTAAGCACAGATAGAAGTATCTGTTCGTACCTAAATTAAATTGTAACAATAACGATCAATAAATCTTTTGAGGAGCATTTTTAAGTTAAATCTCAAGGACATTCGAAATTCTAATCAGCACACTATCGAGTTTTGAAGATGAATACCACTTGTATTATTAGAAACACCATACAAAATTCACTTTTTTTTAAGAAAACAACGCGAAAGCTGAGACTTGTAAATTTACCACTTTTGTGAATTAATATGTAATATATCTGCATTGGTATAGTTAATTAAAGCTTACCAGTTGGTCTAAAAAGCCTCGGTTCGCCATACAAGGTTGTAAAAACGAAGCTCTGATTTGTCCCCTGTCAGATAAGTAGAGAATAATTGTGGGAATTTTTAATTTATTTGTTTTAGTGGGATTAAATAAATATTAATTTACAAAATAAAAAAAGGAGTTTATTGTTTTATTTTGAAAAGGTTTTGAACGTACTTGATATCTCCTTTTCGAAGTAGGCTTCAAGGGGCAGTCAAGTAATCCACCAAATACAGCACCTTGTTTATCTCCAGTTATCTAAAAAGCGGCAAAATAGAGTTCGATTATTTTCTTCGAGAAGAAAGAGACTAAGATAGAATGTAACATTGCACAGGTAATAAATATTGATAAAAATAAAAAAGCCAATATATATTATTACCAATAGGCAAGGACCATTAAGGCATGTGCTCTTCCGGACAAGCGTGTGAAGTGATATGCCATCTCTTACAGTACTGCCCTTCATTCAGTAAATTACAATACAACCATCAAAATCTAAAAGTGCAAATCACAAAGTGTCGACATTTTTTTGTTTTAATCTTTTCTCAAAAAGTAATAAATACAACCTTGCTTGATATTAGTTTCTATTAAGCGGAAATGCATTTTTAGTCCTGTTGGTTTATTGTCATAGCAATTTTATTCCCAGGGTTCAACCTTTTCGTCTTGTGGTCTGTGATTTAATATTTTGCTGCAATTTCAGTCCTCAAAATTGCAACAACAAAATTTTAATATTACAGGACTTAAATTGCAACAAAATTTTAAATTATAGGACTTAAACTGCAAATAAAAAAAACTGTAAATTTTGGAATTTGTTGCACAAATTGCAGCAAAATGTTAAATCACAGACCAAAAGGTGAAATATCAGAATTTTAGGACTAAAGTTACTATGTCATTAAACAAGCAGGACTAAAAATACAATTTAGCCTTTTATTAAGGACTGAAATATTGCAACAAAATTTTAATTTATATGACTAAAATTGCAACGAAATTTTAAATTGTAGGACTTAAACTGCTAGTAAAAAAACTATAAATTTGGTAATTCGTTGCACAAATTGCAGCAAATTATTAAATCAAATTACTAAAATTGATATGACATTAAACAAGCAGGACTAAAAATGCAATTTAACATTTTCTATATTATGTAATTGTTTGTTCAAATTTACCTGTACATCAGAACCCACCGACAACCCTTCACTATATTAGGAAGAGAGGCCTCGAAAAATTCGAACAAATCTTGAGAAATAAAAAGAGAATCTTTCAGAAAGCTCGGAAGGGGTTTCTCGAAAGAATGTGGGGCAACAGCATCTTCAAATACATCCGAGCCGCTACTACTGCTCGTCCCGGACCCTGGTTCGGTAGTTTCTAAATGGCATTCTTTCTCCAATGGTTTATTTTTCCATGAAAAGGATTTACTTTTCCACTTAAACGAGCTTGAATCAGAAAATTTCGGCTCGTTATTAACCTCATTTCCCCGTGATTTTGTCCTGATCCAGTCGAGACTAGCAGAGGGGAGAATGAAGGACAGTACAGAAGATGGTGATTTCTCGATTTTGACATGTTGCCTGACCTACACATATAAAAACCCATGTGTCATAAATACAACAAAGTGAACACGTATGGGAAATCGCCAAAAGATAATTAATTCGAATGAAAATAGCATTATATGCATTATAAAACGAAGGCAAAATTGCATTTTTAGTTCCGTTGGTTTAACGCCATAGTTCCAACATTTCGCCTTGTGGTCCTGATTTAATATTTTGATGCAATTCCAGTCCTTTGAGAACTGAAATTACAACCAATTCCCAAATTTATGGATTATTGAATAGCAGTTTAATTTAAAATTTTGAAATTTTGTCACAAGACCAAAAGGCAAAAAGTTGGAACCTTTGAACTAAAATGTCTATGAGGTTAAACCAACACGATTTGCCTACAATGAAAATAGCATATCAATTATCAACCAAATTGATAAATTTCCACAAGTCAAACAATTAAACCCAAAACGAACAATGACTTTACCAGAATTTCTATTAAATAGCTACAAGAAACAAGACGAGCAATGACCTCAACTAAAGAATAGAACGGTCCTCTACTTGGAAATAGTTATAGAAACTGAGCATTAACCAAATCTCAAGAGTTTCCCATTCATGACTGTGGATAATCGAGTTTTGCACTCTCCCATAAGGGGCTGGATCGAATACAGAAAATAAAAACCGTCATTGAGTTCCCTTTTTTCAACAAATCAGATTTTTAAATCATATGAAACGCGGCATTGAAGCACTTGAAATAGAAATACGACCAACTAACAGCAATGAGAGAACTACAAACAAGAAATCGTAAACATATCATGAAATGCTGCTTCTAATCAGCTTATCACCCCAATAGCTATCTACTAACAATGTGTTTATCTATCCCTTTTCAGATGGGCAAAACGAAAAACTTGTTAAACATTCAACCGCAATTAAGATAACTTATTATATCGTATTATTCCACTTTATCACCTTAATGATATAACCCAAATGATGATGAAAATTCACCCACAAAATTTAGGAAAAATGCAGCTTTTTTCTCCCCCAACACAAGCTCTGAACATTTTCCATTTAATGACAATATATATATATCAATGAATCAATCTCAATTCAGAATTTAAAAAATGAAATTAATAGAACAACAAAAAAACAAATCTTCACATCCCTTTGTCAAATTATATCAGTCTCCCTATTCTATAATAAAATCACAGCTAACTAATCAGCACAACACAACTAAAAATTGCAACTTTAACCACACAGCACCACCATCTAATCAAAGCCAATCTCGAAGCACAATCACATTGGACCCAAATCCGAAAAAAA